CAGCCTTGTGTTTCTCTGTCTGTGAGTGTGACATGAGAGCAGCAGCTGCCTGCTCGGCTGCACACGGGGTACCAGTGGTGATGCAGTGCAGCACACTAAGCTGAGGGCTGCTCAAAGGCAGAGGTGAGTGCAGGGCTCCCCAAACCCTGCAGAGAAAGATGTGTGATGCAGCCCCTGTTCAGGCTTTCCCAGCAGCGGTTTGTCCCTGAAATGAGGCTCCTGAGTGTGGCTGGCAGTTTTAGTTATGGCCAACTCACAGCGCAGATGTGGGGGTGTAGATTCAAGTTCCTCTTCAGCTTTATTTACATCTCAGCCCAGCTTCCCTCTCCTTCCCCAGGGCTATTCTCAGTATTGTGGGGAGTCACCTGATAACCCCAACGATGTTTTTCAGCACTGCATCCATACACATGTATTGCAACGGGAAGCAGGAACTTACTCCTATGGCAAGTGCCCAGCTCCTCACAGCACAGCAGCCCATGCTTGCTCCCTTCTCACTGGCAATGTTACCATTTAATTAGCACGAGTGAGACATGAAACCACATCTGCAGGGTGGGTCGGGAGTGCTGGGGTAAAAGCCAGTGGCTTGGACAGCCTCAGACAGGGTCTTTTGTCTTGCCCTCACCAGGCAAGCAGGAAGATTTTACCCTCATGGAGTTATACTCCATCCCCTGGGTTCTTTGTCCCCTTTGCATGGGGTCAGTGTGATGTTTAAGCTATGAACAGATGTTTATGTTGACAGACATAATGCACTAGCCTATTCTTTGGTGTCTACTGCATCTGCTTCAGCCTCCCTACCCTAGAGTGTGCTGTTACCTTTCGGAAGATAATCCTGCTAACAGCTGCAGGCTCCTGGGCTTCTGCTCCTGCTGCAGGGCTTGGCCATCATGCAGCATCTGGACTGGGGCTTCAGATCTAGTGCTTGACCCTTTCCTTTTTCTGCTGCTTCATTGGCTTCACTTCTTTACCCTCTCATGGGTAAGCGGCTTTTTGGTGGCTATTTTTTGCCAGGTGCTGCTGTTGGCCCCCTTGTCTTGTTCCTGCTTCCTCCTGCTACGGACCTGGTGGTGGAGTCCCCCAGTGTTGCTCCTGCAGGTAGCCACCTGTGAGGCAGCTACTGGGCTGTTTTTCCCTTGGGCTGGGTTTGTGCATCCTGACATGCCCAGCACTGTCCATGCTGCCCATGGGTGGGTATATCAGCAAACTGTCCCCACTTCGACCAAGTGATGGGAGCCCACTGCTGGGCAGTGTTTGTGCAGCGTGTGCCAGGGGGACATGGCTTGGGGTAGAATGGAAAGCGGGGCAGCTACTGGTGTGGAAAGGCTGCAGGGCTGCAGCATTTACCACGCAAACCCAGCCCAGCTTGGTGAAGGTGAAACCAGGCTATGGGCTGTTCTTTGGTGTGTCGTGTCTTGTGAGGGAAGCTGGTCAAGGCTCGGGCAGTTTTATGTGTACCCAGCAGAACAAACCCGGACACTTGGCAGGGGCTGCTGAGGGGGATTAGGTGCCAGTATCAGTCTCTGGGGTGAGATGAGTTTATTTCTGACGGGCAGGAGCCGTTTTGACAGCCCAGACTCAGTGCCGCTGGTGGCAGCCCTCCTTGCTGAGGATACATGGGGAGGACATTGCAGCACCACAGCAACTCTTCCAAGGGGTGTCTTGAGGTGTATCTTCTCCAGCTGGGGTGGGACAAACAGAAGGCCTGAGGGGCTCTAACACGGTGCAGAGAGCTAGTGACAACATGGAATCTGCAGCATCCAGGCTGGGTAGTGACCGATAGCCCTGGACTGGTGGGGAAGCACCCAGGGGAGATCCCCCCATGTAACACCTACAGGTACTCTCGGAGTCCTCGACTTTAATGCCTGAGCAAAGCATGGGGCCCTCAGTCCTCTGCCTGTAGAGGCCCAAACCTCTGCCTGCAGAAGAAAAGCTGTCCTCTCTTCTAAGCATGGGAAAGGCTCTCAGCTCTTAGCCCTTGAAGTCCTGGTTGGCTCCTCAGCTGCTTCTGTGTCTCCTGGAAGCAGCAACATCACGTGTACCAAGCACTATTTCTGGCAGTGGCACAGGCTGTGCTGAAGTTGCAAACCCCAGCATGGTCGTGCTGGTCTGTCCTGTATGCTCACAGCACAGCAGCTACCGGTGCAGAGGACACTTTCTCCCTGCCCCAAACCTACAGCATCCGGAGCAGTGTGTGCAGTGGGCAGCTGGCTGGGTGACCACCCTACACGCAGCCCGAGTCCCATGGGGCAGAGCTGACAACAGAAGTCCTGTTGAGAAACACTGAGGCAGCAACTTCAAAGGTCACCCCAGCCATTACATGCACAGGAAAGGCTCAGATGTGTTGAGACAGCTGTTGCTGTGAGAAGAGGGGAAGTATGCATTAAGCTGTGGCCACTATTACAGAAGCTCAGGAAACCAAAGCCTGGGTCAGGTGGAGGAGCTCGGGTGCTCTATGGTGCAGAGACCTCCCCCCCATCAATTGTCCCATGAATGTAAGCACAGCTATTAGAGATAAAAACAGGGGAGTGAAGATTTTCAGCCACTGGAGTAAGGCAAGCAGCTCTGCCTCTTCACTGCTCTGAGGGGGGCAGCATCTGGCTGGAAGCACCCAGATGTGCAATACCTGGGATCCAGCTAACCCAAGGCTGTGTGGAGGTGTCCTTGAAGCTGCATGCCCCCAGCTGTCTTGTCATCTTCTGTCAGAGAAAATGGGCCCTCCTGAGACCCATTATGGTGCCCACAGGTAGGTGTCTGAAGTGGGCGAGATGAGACCTCTTTCACCTTCAGTTAGGTGAGATGAGTCCCACCAGCTCTTTAGCCAGCCTTCGAAAATAGAGGGAATATATTAATATGCAGCTGACCCACTGCAAGAAGTGGTCTCCAGTGATCATTTTAAATACTATCAAAGTTCACATCCCTAGCCAACTGTCACCTGAAATGCCCCTGTCCATGAAGAAATGGATTGTTAGAAGCAATCCTGCACCGAGTTTGCACAGGCTTGCCTTGCAAGGCAGGCTTGTCCTCACTGCCAGCTCATGAAGCCATGCCAAGGATTACATCTCCAGCATACACCGCTGGAGCAGAGCAGGTTCCGCTGGTCAAGGCTGAATTCTCCACATTCTTTAGGTGGAAGATCAGATGTAAACATCTAATCTATTTATTTATTTTCCAGTAGCAGCATAGCTCTGCTGCTGAGCTCAGATTCACTGCTATGTTAACCTCTGGCTTCTCTGAGTTCCCAGAGATTAAAAAGGGCAGGACAGGTCATGAGGAAGAGCCCTTGGTGGCCAAAAAAATAACAGCAGAGAGCCACAGCAGCCAGGTCTGTATCTTCTGAGTCTACTTCCAGCCTGGCAGCCACAACAGCTTCCCAGCACTGAGCATCTGCAGTATGCTCAACCCTCAGCATTAACCAGCTGTGAGTCATGTTCTAAAAACGTTAAGGTGTGGTTTAAAGCCCAAGTTTGTATTTTTAAGGTTAAATGCTGGTCTTCTTTCTATACCCTTTGGTAGTTAAGTTTTTCTACCTAAGAAGACTAGAAACCTCCTTACCAGGCCTTTCTCATGTGGTCATACCCTTTCAGAATGAAGGGTTATCAGGTAACAAATCAGGAGCTGCAAGAGCTGGCAGAAGTTTATAGGAGACAGTGAATGGGGAGCTTGGTGCTCCTGAAGCACTCTGCTGAAGCTCCTTGCAGGGTGATGATCCCCAACTCAGAAAGTGTGACCTCACTGTGTGTGACCACCAGTCCCTCCAGACTCCCCCCCCAACCGCCGTGCATATGCTGAAAGCTTCATCTCTCTGTGCTGTGGTCTGAAGGTGCACGAGGATCACACATAGGTGATGCACAGAGATACACTGCTGAAAGCCTTAGAGCTGCTGCTGCTGGCCAGTCAGGAGCTCCAGGTACACCTGGAGCAGAGGCTGGCTGAGGAGGGCTCATGATGGGGCAGGACATGGGCTGTTTCAGCCGTTCTTACCTCCAGACAGCAGTAGAGAAGACTGGAGGGTAGCCAGACTCATTTGCCAGGCCAGCGGCAGCCACCGAGCTATCGATGTGGGATGTGGATGGCAGAGCTGCTGTCTCAGAAGCTCCTGCAGGAGCTAATTATATCTGTACTGGTCTGTGGTGAGGCTGCCTGTTGCAGTAACTCTCTGAGAGGTGTTCCCTGCCCGCCTTCCTGCGGCTTCAGCAGGAGCCTGCTTCAGCAGCATTGCTATCAGCACCACAGCGCTCTTTTATCAACAGGCAGCTGCTGCCACTGTAGCCCCACTCCCAAAGTGACTGCAGAGGTGCATACAGTTTAACAAGCCCCCTCAATGCCTGTCCCACCAGTGTCCCCTCCCACCTGTTGTACGTAGCAGAGGTTTCCAGTGCCCTCCTTAAGGGGATGTGTTTTGCCAGGTCCCACAAGCTGCCCCTCTGGGGGAGGTGGCCCTGCAGCTCACTTTCTGGGGCTCAGCGGTTCTTCATGTCCCATCCCGTTGTTCTCTTACTTTGCACATGGAAGAAGAGCAGTTAGGCACAGGAGAGCCCCAGAATCTCAGAAGAAATCGGGTGTCTTGGTGCAGATCAGCCCCTCCTTGCTTCTGATGAGCAATTTAGCACTGCTGTGTGAACCAAACAGCAGGTCTCCCTTGGGAGAAGCTGACTGATCACTTGCCAAATTGTCCCTGAGTCCCACTTAATGTCCTTGCCCACTGCCTCCACCCCTTGTGCACCTGGGGAGAGACAAAATTTGTGGTAGCACTGCCAGGGCTCTGGCAAATGTTGGGGAAAAAGGAGCTGGGAACAGTATTTCCCCTCCTCCCCTCTAGTTTTCTTCATGGACCAAAGGCCACTCACTGATAAGCTTTCTGTGATCAGACAGGTTGTGGCTTCCCAGTATTCCCATGGGAACCAGGACCTTCAGGGGAACATGAGCTGCCCCAGGACTGGTATCACCAGACGGTCCTACTTGTGTTCCCACCTCTGCTGTCTGCGCCAGCAGCTTCAGCTCTATGGTGGAAGCAGCAACACACCTGTGTGCAGCTTTGCAAATCTCTTTCCTCCTCTGTGCAAAGCAGCGTGGTGCAAAGATGGGGGGTTGGTATAACAGGGTGGTGGAGAAAGGTGTTTCAGATAAAATCAGTTCTATATGGGTCAACCCCTGCCCTCCAGCCTGCCCCCCCAGCACCAGCCTGCTTACCTGTTGTTTAGATGGGCACAGATCTCCTGAGGTGCCAGCCAGACAACTGAAGACTGAGGAAAAAACAAAGCAAATCAAACCTGATGTAGCTGGGTGCTTTTATCTGCAGGTAGAGCTGAGCAGCAGCAGGCTGGTTCCCAGCTGAGTCTTTCCTTCTGTATCAAGTATAAATTCACCAGGTATTCCATTTCCTGGGGAAAAAAAAAAAAAAAGAGAGCAGAATAATTCACTTAGAAATAAAGAGTAGAGCTATTTTTTTCCTCTGTCATGGTGAATGCAATTACCTAAGGCATGGGAGGCTGAGATAACTCATCCAGCCCCCACTTTCCAAAGAAACCATCATCATTCTGTCAGAAAAGGCTTTAAAAACCCATTCACATCCTGAATGCTAAAACATCGCCACATACAGAACCTGTCCTTATGATTTCCATGCACCAGCTGCAGCACTGCAATCAAAGCACACTCAGGGCAGAGTTCATTATTATCAGGACCATATATACACCACACAAGCTCCCTGTGTTTGCTGACCCTTCTGTTGCTGTTGGCAACTCTGTCCTTCAGGAGCAACTCCTAGCAAAGCAAAGCATACTGGTATTCTGTTACCAGCATGTGAGCCACACTGGGGCTGGGAAAGCGTGCATGGGGAGAGACCAAAACTGTGTCTGGGGAGTTCAGTGAAGGGAAACTATAAGCCTGCACTTGCCTCCAGTTATAATCCCATTTGGGCTGCACCCCCCACTCCCACCTCCTGTGCCATTACATAATGGGCAGTGCAGTAATACTTTCAGCAATGCTGTTTGAATGGCAGCAGTCCAATTCTGGACTGTATTTTATCTTCTTTTTTTAACGGTGGGGTGGGGAGAGGGGGTTGGCAGAGGGGAGAAAGCATCAGTTTGGTTTGTCTGCAATCCCTGTTTTGCTTTGGGAGCTTTAGAGGACAGACACATTCTTCTATCTCCGCTAATCCTCCTCTGATACAGAGGATTTTCCTGCCATTAAATGATAGCTTGTGAGAAAAAAAAATGCCAACTTTTCAGAGACTGACTCGTATGGCTAATGGCAGCCTCATGAGCAGGAGGGAGAGCACAGCCACTGCCTGGCTAGGTAAGCAATGCATCCAAATGACTTCTGCTGGGAATTTTAGCTTCAACTTTTTGATGATAAGCTGGTTATGCACCTCGGGACCAGCACCTATTTCCTGGGGACATGGCCAGTCTCTTACTATTAGTGATCTTTTCCCACCTCAGATGATAGGAACCTGCCTTTGGAACCACTGGTGGAAATGATGCAGATGAGGAGCTGAAAAGGAGTTTTACAGAGCTGCAGGATTCCCTGAGAAGGTCAGTGGTAGAAGAAAGATACTCACCAGGAAGGTGCTGGGGACTTCTTCAGTTTGACTGTGTGTGGGAGAGGAGCTTTTTCCATCATCTTCCTTTCTAAACATAGATCTCATTGTGGGAAAATGATGCAGGGAAATGAGAGAGGATGAAACCTGTGTCTGTTCTTGTGTGTTTCTAGATCCTTCAAGTTTGCTTTCCAGGCCTGAAATGCCACTAGTGAATAATCAAGGTAATGTTTGCCGTCATTTTAAATGGTGAGTATACTCTTATTTGGCATTACCTAGTAACGGATTAGACAGGTCGTTTGGAAAGATGTAGGGTAAACGCTCAGTTATTGCAATCATAGTTTCTTTACCCTTCTAAAAACTCTGCAAACATTTTTTTGGTCACTCAATTTTCTTTTCAAATACTGAATTGCCATAGTATTTAAAAGGGCAAAGGAGATCATCCCTGGGTGGAATTTTGTTTATGCCTTAATACAATTATTTTTCCCTTACTGCTGTATTTCACCCTTAAACAAACATCTCATTTGAGACCCTCTGTGTCAGTAAGTTGGAGGCATCTTCCAGCTGCTGCCCTGTCTGCTACCACAGTGTTAAAAGCAAAGAACATCCTTTTTGGGGAAGGGGTAAAGAAGAAGAGGTGGGAATGTTTCCAGCTATGTTGGTCAGAGGAAATCTGGCTAACAAAGGAGATGTGATCTCCTGTGCTCTGAGCAGCAGCTCTCCAGAGGGTTTGGTAAGGTTCAGATGGAGGATTTTTTCTGACTTCCTTTGCAAGAGAAAGAGGGAAAATTGCCACAAAGGCTGTGGTGCTGAGGGGCTCTTACTTCCAAGGGGATGTTTCGTCATTGGATGGTCCTTGAGTGCTTGTTTTCCATGTACTGTTCAATGCAAAGAGATACGCTTGTAAATAGAGATCTTAGAAGTGTGCTGTGAAATGCCACTATCAGGAGACCCAGATTTGGCCTTAAAAAAATCTTCTGTGTATAAGGAAAACAGGCTGGATATGGCTTGAGTACAGACATTTCCTTTATCAAGTGATTAAAGGACAATCAGGAAGTGGATTTCATTATCAGCATGCTCATTCTTACACTGCACATGGTGTACACAGCTGCTGGGGGAGGTCTGCTTTGAAGGTCAGAGATGTGTCTGAGCTTGGGATAGTTGTAGCTAAACATTGAGCTTGTTTGAGACAGGCTCACATACAGGACTGCCTATGCACATACGCCCCTCTGGATGTCACCCTGAGCCCACACAAGGCTCTCATGCCAGCAGCAACGCTTGCATCCATCATTTTCCAAACAGCCACCTGTGTTTAGGCATTTGGGAACAGGCAAATCCTTAATCTGTCTGCCCCTCAGTTTATGTAACTGCTTAACAAAAACAACAAGTGCCCCTGTTTGCAAGCAACAGTGTGGACTGGTGCATAGGGTAGCAAAGGAGGGAGCCCCTGGGCAGCCTGCACGAAGCAAGAGCAGTCTGAAGCCAGCATGTTTTCTGCTCTCCAGTCCTCAGGCTCCTCACATGTTGTCTGCTCAGAGCCTTGACTGAAGGAGACTTCCCATTAGCTGTGCCTGTTAGATAAGAGCTCAGGAAACGAGAAAAGAGCATAAAAGAAAACAAAATAACAAGCCTGTCTAAAATCCTTTCCACCTCTCAGAGTCCTTCACTATCATATATCCTTGAGGTCATGCTGTTTTGCTAATACTCGGGTCACGATAGTGTGGCGAGACTTGATGGGACCTGAATTTCAATAGAACCTTCAGCTAAAGTCCTTCTGGAATGCTCCCTCCACGTATCTAAATCCCTTTTCTACATGCAATGGCCAGGTTAGTTTGAACAGAACCAGGCTAGGCCGCTCCTGGGTTGATGTCCTATTAGTGGGAACTTGCCTAGCATCTGGTTTTGCAAGACTGCCTAAAGAAGTAACAGGTAGCATAAACTCAAATATAGTTTCATGCATGCTGCCTTCAGACAGAACGGAGAAAGGGCAGAGTTACTGCAGTTCGAGCTATAGGTTGGTCTGTACATAAAAGCCTTAGGGGCTGCAAAAATAAAAGCTTTATGCTTGCTGAAGCTGATGCTTCCTGGCATATCACCTCACATGTCTATCTTAATAAAAATGCCTTTTGGGAATACAGCTGTAATGGGCAATTATTGTGCTGCAAACTGGCAGTGAGAAGCAGCCCAGCTGCTGGAAGGTTCCCTCTCCAGTCAGCAGGAGCGTGGGGGAAAGCCTGTCCCTTGGCCCCTGGGGCCAGATAGGCACATAGCAGCAGCAATGTGATCCCAGCAGCGCTGCAATAAAGTGGCTGTTGGTGAAACTGTTGGTATCTCATGTCTCGCTGAAAAAAGTATAAAAGGATTATACTTGTGTGGGTGCTGATAAACTTCAGCAGAAAAAGCAGGCAGTAGCAATACCACCATTTCCTGCTAGTGACTACCTGGAGAATCTGCTGGTGTGGCTGTTCATTTTGTTGAGCAGCAGGTGGGATGTGCCTATGAGAGCAATAACAAAATGAGCTCTGCCTTCAGTTCTTCCTTTCTAATGAGTTTATTTTGCAGATGCCTGGCTGACAGGACGTTTTTCCCCACAAAAATGCCTGTCCATGGGGGATGATGTTTCCCATTCCTTTCATCCTTCTCTGATTTCTCCCCAAGAGTTTTCTCCTTCTCTTCCTCATTGTACATCCACTTGCATGGGACTAACTTGAAAAGAAACCACAGTAGCCACATACGTTCCACATCAGGCTTGTAAAAGGTCAAAGCAGCTGCTCCCATCAAGCATGAGGCACTATGGTGACTGTCTCAGGAACTGGCAAAACAATAAAAACTATGCTGGAGGTCCAAAGTATCTCATCATGAAGAAAGCAGCTGAACAATATCTGTAAACTTGTTTTTCCTCATGCTGTTCTACCAATACACACTGGGAATGTATTTTTAAACACTGTACTGCGTCCTTAAGAGCTGTTAGTTCCCCTTGCAGTGCTACACCAGCTCATGGCTCTGGTGGAGAAATATTAGGTTGAATGAACAAGAAAAGAAAGAAGCAAAAGGCATGAATTTGACATGCCCCAAGCAACTAACTGATCACTCCAGACCACTGTCAGACTAGCATAGACTGTGCTCCCCTCTTCCCCACCCAGAAATACTGCAACCCATACACAGCTTCTGACCTTCAAAGCATCTCTGCCTGCTCCCTGGCCAAACCATTTCCCCATCACCTTGCAGAGAGGCCAACCACTGAGATTCAGGTGTGTCCACCTCTTAGGGGGAGAAATTAATGAGGGATGATATTCTAGATGATGTGTTTACACACACACACAGACACACACACAGACACACACACCTTCTTAGAAGGTTTAAAGACCCAGCAGATTTTCAGGAATCTTTCATGAGAACTTCCTGGTCAGCACCGAGGGTGACAATTATCCTGGCTAGAAGGGAGGCAAAGATAGCATAATTTCTTTCTCCTGTTATGACTAATATATTTGTATCCTGATTCTCTCCTCCCATCCCTCCATGGGGATGGCATGTTCCTCTCTGACAGTGATCCTTTGGGTCCCCCATGTCCATGCGGTGTGGGCCTGTGTGCGGTCCTGCCCTGCCAACTGCGTGTGCACTCAAGAGCGGAGCTGCTCCGTCCTCTGTGATCGTGTTGGTCTGGGGCAGATCCCTAGCCAGTTCCCTTGTGAAGCCTCCTCTATCAACCTGGACAAAAACAGCATCAAGTTTCTCTCCGAGAGGGCCTTTGGGACCTTGCCTTCCCTCAAGTCCCTGTCTCTGAATCACAACAATATCTCCTTCATCACCCCAGGGGCTTTCAAGGGGCTGCCCAGCTTGACTGAGCTGAAGATGGCCCACAATGAGTACATTCGCTATCTCCACACGCGGACTTTCACTGCCCTCAAACGGCTGGTGAAGCTGGACCTGGCGGACTGCAACCTTTTCAACATCCCTGACAGGATCTTCATTGAGCTGCCTGCTCTACAGGAGCTCTTCTGCTTTCAGAACAACTTCCGGAGGATCCCAGGTGCCATCAGGGGCATGGAGAACCTGACCCATGTTTACCTGGAGAGAAACAGGATTGAAGCGGTAGCCTATAACTCCCTGCAGGGCCTGACCAAGTTGAAATACCTGAATCTGCAGGACAACAAGATAAATGTGGTTCATGAGCGAGCTTTTCAGGGCTGCCAGAAGATGGAATACCTGTATCTGAATGACAATTTGATCAGCGAGCTTCCAGAAAACTCCTTTGATGGCCTGAGGTGCCTGAAGATGCTCAACCTAGGGGGGAATTTTCTTAGGAACATATCCAACACTTGGTTCAGGGACCTGGGGGAGCTGGAGGTACTCTACCTGGATCGCAACAGGATCAACTACATTGAGGATGGGGCTTTTGAAAACCTCACCAGCCTGGTTGCGTTGCACTTGAACAGCAACAACCTGACAACCCTGCCCTTTTCTGTCTTCCAGCCGGTTTACTTCCTTGGGCGGCTGTACCTCTTCCGCAATCCCTGGGAGTGTGACTGCCGCATCGAGTGGCTGAAGGAGTGGATGGAGAATTACAGGCTTGTCAGGGATATTCCCTGTGCTTCCCCCTCCTCAGTAGCTGGGATTGACCTAATGGACGTGCTCTTTGAGAGATCTCCAGAAGGTTACTGTCTTGACCCGGCTGAGCTAAATGTCACGTCTGAAGGCCCAACCCCAAGTGGAGAGCCTTGGTCTACTACAGAGAGCAAGTTCAATAGCCTTATCTCCAAACTCCTGCTCCAGATGGGCCTTTCTGAAGAGGTGGCAAATACCACTGAAGTCTACAGTAACACCACACAGCTGGATGGACTGACTGATGGGGTTTCTTCTGGGGTGGGGCAAGACACAATGGAGGCTGTCTCCTTCTCTTTTTACCTTCCAGCACTTTTTACAGTGATTGTTTGGCAATGCAAATAGTCCAAGGGCTACATGAAGCATGGATCCTGCGTAAGCATTCCTGTACCTACTCAAGTCATTAGGGAAAAGTTTGTATTATGAGCCTCCAATATATAACTGGCTCCAAACTCTCCCACGATGGGTTGGTTGATCTGGCTCCTGATTCTCCTGGGAGCTGGTGGGATCTGGTTCAAGGCTGGGTCACACTCCAGGTGAGAAGCCTGTCCTGTGGGTTCTTAGAGCCACCCAAACACTCACATTGCTGTGTGGAAGATGAGCAATGAAAGGATAGCTGTAAGGTTGAGTTTCACTTAGATACATGCAATGGCTCCTGCTGGGAGCAGAGGGAAGAGCAGTCTGTATGGATGGCAGTACAGTACTCTGTATTCTGTTGGGCCAACTCCAGTTGACCAAATTGTCCGCTTTATAAGAGAAAGACAAGGAATCAAAAGCACCCCCCTCTTCATATCCTGACAGACACCCACATCCACAGTGGGTGCTTCTAGATGCTGGCAAACTGATTTCCACCAGCATGTGTGGGGGGAACAGGGCTGTCCTGAGCAGCATCCAGGGATGCAACACTAGCCGTTGTGAGCAAGAGAACAGCATCTGGGCATGGTGCCAGCCCCAGGCTGGGCTGGGGTGGGCTGGGCTGGGCACATTCTTCTCTGGGGAAAAGCTATTTAAACTGAACAGCTTACTTACTAACATTGTTTCAATGTGTTTTTATTTCTCAGTTAGTATATTGTTTCAAGGAACATATTGTTTTTATTTGTAGATTATTTAATGGCATGAAGGGAGGGGCAGAAAATTGCAATGAAAAAGGCATCCACGCCCTGCTAAATATTTTGTATTTCCACCACTAACGTGTACCATATAGCATGTCTTATTATGCTGTACAACCAACCATGCCATCATTTTCTTTCATAGAATCATAGAATGGTTTGGGTTGGAAGGGACCTTGGGTGACATGGTTTAGTGTGAGGTGTCCCTGCCCATGGCAGGGGGATTAGAACTAGATTATTTTAAGGTCTTTCCCAACCCTAACTATTCTATGATTCTATGATCTAGTTCCCCAATCCCCCTGTTATGGGCAGGGACACCTCACACTAGACCAGGTTGATCAAAGCCTCATCCATATAGCATCTAACATGTTTTTTCTTTGAAATCTTTGATGAAAGCTGCTAATATGATCAGAAATAATTATCGTGCTTTATGCGTCAGAGCACATTAATAAAATACTTTGATATTTTGCTCACAAAAATAAATTAACTGCTCATCCCCCCCTTTTTATTTTTGTAATCCTTGAATTATTTCGGTAGTTTTTTTATAGGCTACCCAACACACATGAATGTCCTTTTTATGGTCTAGAGCAAATGGCACACTATTTATTGCAGCATAAAGAATAGACACTTTAACTTAGAACATGACAGTGCTTACATTTGTGTTAAGTAGTAACACTTTTAAAAATAAGTGACTATATAGAAATACACTTCTGTGATATTTTAACTGTATTAAATCATTATACATGGCTTATCATACTATGATGTACATGTTCATATGAAATGACAGAATATATACAATCTTTTATTACTGCTAAAATGTCATGAAATAGGAATAAAAATGGAAATAAATTAAAAACCGCTATCAAACATTTTCCTACCCCCTTTTTTTCCACTCACCCCTACCCCTTCCTTTCATGACCAATTCAACATGAATATGACCACTCTTGCCCCAGTTCGGTCCCTGTGGGTGCTGGAGTAGCAGTGTCAGAGTGGGAGCTGCCTTGTCTCATGCTTTGCTAAGGCTGTGGTTCAGTATGGACAACACGTTGCTAAAACCTACTGAGAGTAGCTGCCTTTGACTGTGGCCCCTCCCCCAGTCACACACTGGTGAGTACCCAAAAATGTATGCAAAGGACAGATCAGCTAAGGATGGACTTTGGGCATAGAACAGCTGAAAAGTGGTGGGTAATGAACAAATTAATGCATGAAGACCTTTTGTTAGCAGCTCCTGTACCCTTTTACATCTGGGATTGTCTGGGAGAACTGGGGAAATAAATAAACTTCAAAAAAGGCTCAACTCTTCAGCAAAGGTGCCTTGGGTCAGGTCTGTTCACACTGTTCAGCCCTCGGCCTCAAGCAGCACGGGCACCCCAGCACATTTGTAAACAACTCTATGGATGATCCCACAGCCCATAGCGTTGGTTAAAGAGCTCTGGAGAAACCAACATCAGCTCATGTGCAAAATGACTTTGTGCTCCTGAACTACTGGAGCAGCTGCTGCAAGAAACAGGGAAGCTGGTTTTTTTTGCCTGCAGAAAGGAGGCATCTCCAGGAGCTTCAAGATACATGTTTTGGACAGCCTGCTTTGGTCTGCAGCACTCTGTCCAAAAAGATCTACTGCTTTCTAATTAGCACCAGAGATTTCTAGGGGAAGGATGAGTACAAGGGAAACCAAACCCTCCCTGTTGCAATGGCTCCTCAGCTATCTGTAGCTCGACCACAGTGTTCTCCCCAGGGAAGAAGAATGCCAGATGGTTTGATAAATGCCTATTTGACCTGCTCTGTGAACTAAATTCAATGAGTTTGGATTTCTAGGCTATTTATGAATCCATTAATCTTCTTAAGTGCTGAATTCATCTGTGTATTATAAAAGGCTGTTTTCCAAACCTAGTCCAGCCCAGTGCTGAAGAGGCATATTATGTTAAGGATGCCTTTACAGGGGCAATATTTCATCCTGTCAGGGATCAATAGGCTTGGCACAGATGGTAGGATATTGGGCACAAATGGTTGTATTTCAGTTCCTACAAGTATGGATGCCTCATGAGTGAATTGTTTTTATAGCCCACATTTTCATTTTCTGTGCTGAAATACATTAAATCTGAAGATCATCTTAACTGCAATTGTTGAGCACAGCTTTGAAGTTAATTAGTGCTTCAAAGATGCTTCTGCTTTATCTGCAAGAATGGCAGATCTGAATGTGAAGCATCTGAAAATGTAGGTTTTAGCACAGATGGCACCGTCAGGTGACAGACAAAGGGACTGTATATCATACCTCATTGTGTGACAATGGGGCCAGTGACTTTGGACACCTATGATTTAAAAATTTCTTTAGTCAAATACCCTAACTACTTGCCCCAGAAAGCTTTCCCTGTGCTGCTATAACAGAGCTGTGAGTGCCTAGAAACTGCGTGGCTGGCATTGTGCTGCATGTAATGGGCTTTCAGCTTCTTGCCAGTAATGGGGACAGACTTCATGCTTGCCTGCTCTGAAATCCTGCTCTTCCCTCTGAGCCAAGAGACCAGCAACGTGTGGTTCCAGCAGGACAGAGCATCTGGCATGTGAGTCCTCTGAGTCAATCAGAAGTCTGTGAGTCTGTGCATTGCTCTCTCTTTGCTCCTCTCTCCTGTGTTGCTCTTTCCTTGTAACTCTGTTTAGCTTGGCCACTGTCTTTAGCATGTGCCTACCTGGAAAAGCAGCAGCATTCTACAAAGGGCAGGAAAATATGTCTGCTCAAACAAGTTAAATTAAGGATCAAGCTTTTGCATGAATAATTTGGGGTTTTTTAATTTTCTTAGGGTAGACTCCTGATCCAAATTGTGCTTCAGGTGGTAAACATGAACCAGCTGTTGGTTACAATTCCATGGTACAGCATCCTTTCACAAACCAATTCTGTTTTAAAAATTTGCCCCCGGACTGAGACACCACCAAAGATGTCACAGAACTGCAGGTCAAGCCCTGCTGAGATGCCAGTCTCAATGATGAGGGTGCTTTCCAGTCCAGTCCTCAGTGTGAGATGCCGGGAATTTACTTGAAGCAGTGGGGAGGGATGGCCGTAAGTTGTCTGGTGTTAAAATACACTTCATAACTGAAGTTTATTGAGAGCTGGTGTTCCCCAGCTGAAGCATTTGAGGTCCTCGGAGAGGGCAATTTGTTTTATTGTATGGTACCTGTTAACATGGTGTTCTTCGCTGGTACAGGTGTTTTTTATGCTTTACAACAGCTTCTATTAAATTAGAAGGAAGAAGCAGTCAAAGTAAATAGAAAAAAGGATTTGGATATCATCTCCTGGACTCAGAATTCTGCCTGTGTTACATTCCTAAGGGTCCTACTTGGTGTTTAACATCAACACTGCTATGCTCCTCTTTTTGTTTTTTTCTTTACATTTAGAGCTACTTCTAGTAATCTCCTGTGAAATGCAGCTATTGGCTTTTTGCTAATCTTGTGGAGTCTTACATTGCTTTTCTGCTTCGTAAAGTAATAAGTCCAGGAGGACTCAGGAATCGTGGTAAATAAAGATGACTTTTGCTAGAAAGGCAGCAGATACTGACCAGCTGGAATTCAGGAACTGTTTATGTACTTCAGCTAACTCTTGTCTTTATGACATCTGGCTGCTAGCTCTTAGAAAACCCTAAATCTTGATTTGTTGAGTTTTCCCTTGATCATTTTTGTGGTCACAATTTCAGGTGGAACCAAATCAACTGAGTTAAATCTTCTTATTGCAGAAAACTGCTGTTCTTTCTTTGGAGTATATGAAGTCTTGCAAGAAAATAACCTGCAATGATCACTGCTGCCTCAGTGTGAGCTTCACAAGACATGGCTAGTCTGGGTGAGAAAAGAACACTTTCTAGGTACATGAAGCATGCCTTTCTCAAGGTCTGCTTTTGCAGAGTCAAGGTACGGGCTTTGCACAAACACTAATAATAGTGGTCCTTACTTTCGCCACACCCAAATCTGATAGAAGCCCATGGAGTTTGAAGACTCTGCTGCAGTGACCTCCAAAACAGTTTTAAAAGAGCTTTATGGAAAATGTCAACCATAGAATAAAGACCACAAATAATAAAACACTTATCACAAGTATTACTTAAAAGCATGAAGTTCTGCTAGTTTTTTTTTAGCAAAACAAAAGAATGTTCATGCTGAAAATGCATAAGGTCTAAGATGCAGCTGTGTCAAGGAACACTATCAAGTGGCCAGCTGTTGGGCAAACTTTAGATTTTACATGATGAAGCAGCACCTATAGGTCAAAACCTAAACATGCACAAAATCAGCACCAAAAGTCTCTTTGTCTTGGGCAAAGCTGGTCTTTTAAATTCTAATATAAAGATGAATACAAATATGGTAAATAGATACTTCTGAACAGAGAATATCTTGCCCAAAGCTTGATTTTGTTGACCCTGTGGTTCGTTGAACCAGTCTGATCTTGTACTGTGTGGTAAGTTTTATCCTTGAATGCAAAACATTCATTACTTTGGCAGTTTTCCTCACCTTTGACCTTCACCACATCCTTTGATTTTATCGTACTTCCCTCTTCATCTCTCTCTCTTTTAAGGATGAATTTAAAGTTAATTCTTAACTTGTATAGCACCAGTCTTATACTCTCTATGAAGAATCCCAAAACGTTTTAAATAAATAGACAAGAACCTTCCATTAACTTTAGTATACTCACCCATCCTATGGATTACTTCAAGTACATATCCTATTTATTTACTTATTTGGATTACCAGCTAACTTTAACTTGTGCTTGTTCAGCATCTAAGACAGGGGTTTTGACCTGTGCCAGGAGCTTCTTCTTATGGCTGTAGGTTTACAATGAGACAGGCTTAAGGTATTCTTCTTCTACCCCCTCCTTGTTTCCCCCTTTTTTCCTGTTCCAAGCCAAAATTTGCCTGTGCCTTGGTGCACTGCTGCACCAGGCCTGGCTGTGCTTGAAACTGGATCACCAAAATGTCCCAGTTGAAAACAACAGCTGTCCCCTCTGCTTTTTTTATGGTTAGAAGCCCAATTAGTTCCCTTAAAATTTTATGAGCCAGGTAGGGCATAACTAGGTTAAACTGGGGATAATAATAAGAAAATGTAATTGCTGCATTTGAAAGGGGGATAAGCAAAATTGGAAAGACTGGGCTCAACTGCTGATTTGCACCATATGATTTACCTGTGCTGGCATGGATC